CAATGATAAATATAACTGCAGACACTGATCAGTTCCTTCCGTATATATCTAGCCAGAATGTCGTTATGAATTCCTGGATTACTAAGGATTTTCTTGATCGGACTCCAATGACTATTGAATACTACCATTATTACTTCATGGCAGTGCACAACATAATGACATTGTATGCAAACTTGCCAGCAAACAATACGTTTGCATGCGTCCGCGAACCTTTCGGAAAAGTACTCAAGACTAGACACACTCCTTGTGGAAAATGTCATTTCCAGCCTCTAACAGAATGGGATGCGGAATATATACGATTCTCTGCGATTCCTGCGATTCCACGTTTGGATTGGAGTGGCTATCCCGTGGAAGAACATGACAATAATAATTATAAATCGTTTCAAATGTAATCATAGTAATAGTGGGTGTATTGATTTTGAATTAGCTATGTTCTGAGCAATCACATCGTTGATTATCATTCATCGATACTTGGTTGTTATCATCACGTTAGCTGTTACCAAGAGTAGATAATATAACATGTTATATTATCTACTCTTGCTGTTACCCATGTTCTGTAATAGTCATTAATCTGATTCCACGATGATGTAAACATTTTAGCGTAATATTAAAGCTGCAGTTCCTGACCGTGAAATCTCGTAAATCTGGTCGTTTTATAAGCTTCGTATCTCGTAATTTAGAAATATATAATAAAATAATTATCTTTTCAACACTACACCTTATTTTTAACCATACTACATGTTTACTCCGCGCCATTGCTACAGCCCTGTATCTTTCTTTCTTCTTGCCCTTTCCATCTCCTTCTTCCTCTCTCCCCGCTCTCTACTTCGCACTCTCTTTCTCTTTCTTCGCCACCCGCCCCCTCTACATCTTCTCTTCATTTTATCACCTCCCCCGATTCCGTCCCGTCTCTCCCCCTTCCTCTCCCCTCCGCGTGTACGTGTATTTGCCGCCACACATTATACTATCATACTACCATACTATCAATAACAAGTTAACAACACTCTTAATAACTACCATCGCGGTCCTGGCTCTGAATTTAAGTAACGCAGAACACTATAACCTCTTCTAAATAATTGTCAATTATTGTCTGTTTTTGTGTTGAGAAATAAATTACTGATTTGTGTGGACGTACTGAGAGTGTAAATAACAGACACGACTAACTAACTATTCGGTGACACGTTCTACCTACGGGGCGCCATGCAGGACAGGGCTCAATTTTGTCTAACAAAACTCAATTCTGTCTCACAAAACTCACTTTTGTGCACAAAACTCAATTCTGTCTCACAAAAGTCAATTTTGTGAACACAAAACTCAATTCTGTCAATCCTGTCCAACAAAACTCAATTTTGTGAACACAAAACTCAATTCTGTCAATCCTGTCTCACAAAACCCAATTTTGTGAACACAAAACTCAATTCAGTTTTGTGAAACCGGTTCGACAGAATTGAGTTTTGTGTTTACAAAATTGAGTTTTGTGGAACCGGATTGACAGAATTGAGTTTTGTGGGACAGGATTGACAGAATTGAGTTTAGTGTTCACAAAACTCATTTTTGTCAAGTTTATAGGTACAAAAATGCCTGTCCTGCATGGCGCCCCGTACTACCACCGTATATGTGTATCGCGCGTAGATTCATGAGTCACCCAAAGCTACCCGTGCGTAGCGTTCGTTTACCGACCGATGGATGTCTGTCATTTTCTGTCATCGGCAACGCAGATTCTTGTTGGTGCCCTCTGGCTCAAATTTGTACCATACTGCGATGGTAGCTGTAACGAAATACTGAAGAGATCGGGGCATTTATAGCTTTATAGCTTTATAGCTTTATAGCTTTATAGCTTTATAGCTTTATAGGTTTTGGGCTCTTTGTTGACCTACACTGGATTGCGGGTTATTTAGACAGGATTCCACGCGGCAAGCTGCGGTACGCCGCACGCCGCTGTTACAGTATTTAAAAATCGTATTTAATATTTAAAAATCAGCATTACAGTATTTTAGTAATTCTCTATAGATTCTTCAATTATTTAAACATAGTTTTAGCTTCGTATAATGAAACACCTCTCGCGGAATGATTCCAATGTCGACTTTCATGATCAAGGGCAGTCAGTATACGACATTCACGCACTACCAAGTAACATTATACCGCCCAACATCGATGTTTATCGTTATTTTGCGAATGTTATGCCCCACCACAAATAGACAAACGATAACCTGCTGTTGCAGTGATACTTTCAACGAAATTAAGCTTTGATGAAATGGGGTAAAACAAATTTACAGTAGGTGGACACCACAGAGGACAACGGCAAATTGCATTATACCTATAAATATGATGATCAAACAATAAAACTAGACGCTCGCGCAATGCTAGACTTTATCAGAAACAAAAATACATTCATTAATTTCCAATTATGGTAAAAATACTGCTAGCATTCATATTTATTATACGAATATATAGTTACGGTACAAGGAAATATCATCATGGGTCACAATGACGTTCGTGCTCGGTTATATTATACACTGCCTTGCTTACTGTCAGCATGTAGATAATAAATCCTATCAGGCAACAGTTTCTAAAAGGTAATACAAACGCATGTGAAACTCTACATGCAGCGGACTTGATGCAATTAACGACGTAGGTATCCGCAGTTCTATTCAACTGAAGTATTGGTGGTGCATAAATATTCCACACTAGTTTATAGTAGTTTAGTGAAGAGTAGATGTGTCCGTGTAAAACTACCGGCACCACAGTGGCAGTTCCTCTTAAAATTAATGTGTTTTTATCGCAAAATTTTTTAATTCTCAAATCCACAATGGTATAATTAATTCCCAAAATAAATAACCAAATATACGTTCAAACAATTATCACTTCCATATTAATTAATACGTGGTTAGATATATCGATCTTTTCATACAACAGTGCAAGATGGAAATACATGGTAGGCTACACCTATTAGCTTTGAGAACCGCAGAAAATCATATCAATATCGATATAGGGTTACCTGTGCGGCCTATCGCGATAAGCGTGCTCGGCCTATTATCAATTCGTTATGAATGCTAACCTATTGATATCCTGTCATATAAATCTGGGTCCCATGATGTACACGTACATGTAAGATATCTGATTTTATACTTATTATTGTCTTTATTAGAGTTATTCAACGGGAGAGCCGTCCCAGTCCAGGCGTATAGAATTTGCAGAGAATTGGCCGTACGCTTCATCCCATGCAGCCAAGGGCTCAAAATCACATCTTCCGTTGTTTCTTATTCCTGTCTTGCCCGTTTCTCCGTCTGCCCGGCGCACGCACGCGAGCGTATTGCCGGCGGGCAGGTTAGCGTACAATGTGAACAGATTGTGGGTAGCCATGAAATAATACTGGTAGTATTCGATACTCATGGCATTTTGCAGAAAATCTTTAGTAATCCAGGAATTCATGATAACGTTCTGGCTAAATATATACGGAAGGAACTGATCAGTGTCTGCAGTTATATTTATCGTTGTCAGCATCCAATGTCTGAATTTCCTCCACATACTCGGTATTGGAGCGTAGCCGCTGGTCGAAGAAAAGCGATAGAGAAAAGCCGTCTGATCCTCACAAACCGTACAGATAGGGTCGCGGTGCGTCAGGCTTCTAATTTGTCCAGCTACTAATGTTTCCCTGGACAGCGTAACGCCTCCAACCTCACGATGACCGCTGTAGGCGATAATTGCGGCTTTCAGCCACCGATAGTAATACGGTGAGAGACGTAGATCGTCTTCTAGTATCAGTCCGTAGTTGCCGGGAGAGTCGTCTGGGTTCCAGCAGTCTAACCATTGCGCGGTCACGCCGACGTTACGCTGGCGCACTGTCAACACTTTCTTGCCATGCGTGAACTGGAATTGCTCGGCCACCCGCACGGTCTGTCGATGTCCGGATAGCTCGTCACCAACCTTTGCTCCATCGATGCAGATGTGCAACGTGATGCTGTCGTAATCGTACTCCGCGTTCTCCAGTGATTGTAACAGGCGCGACAGCGAGCCTGGACTATTGTATGTGAGCACTGTCACCTCCAGGTAAAAACTCTCTTTGTTACTTTGTTCGAAGTATCGCAAATTGTTTTTATAGCGATGACTGACATACACGTGCAGTAATTCAGTAACAATTATTGCACATAATATAGTTCGTAACCTTACCAACTTCAACATGACTATACAAGCTCGATACGACAGCAGTCCGTATACCCAATGCTATATACAGTGTCCAAGTCAACAAGCACTCAGGGCACACATATTGCAGCAGAATCTGACCAATTTTACCGATGTTTCGCAGTCAACATAACTTAGAAATTATAAAATGCGCTGCTTCTCTATGAATTACAACCCGATGACGTTCGAACCGGCGATCTGTCTTCCTATCCATGACATCGGTCTGAAACTCGTTCCGCCAGCATCAAGCGACTCTGCGCGGGTGAACGACCATACGTGCACACGCATGACGCAATAAAATAACTCCGCGTAGTTCTTGTTGCTATGTCAATGGTTGCGCTTCGCTACTGTCACGATACAAGCTTCAATGCCTCGGTACAGAATCCGAATAAATGCGAAGGGAAGTGGCTATAACACTACCGGTCTTCACTTCAGTTAATCGCAATAACTGACGAGAAATCGCTGCAGTATCTTTAGCACTTTTTTCTGTCAAACTACATCTTGAATCAAATCAATGGAGCGCGCATGTTTGCCTGTGTTCAAGTTGGTTATAGGATCGTGGCGCCATGCTGCGAGCAGTGTGAATCGTGTAAATCGGATGTAACCATGCACCCATGCCGCGGGCAGGCACTGTCCAGTTTGAGCGTATGAGATCGGCCGAAGAAATATATCCTCGCTGTTCAGCGCGACGAACGACCTGAGCGCCATTAGCTTCAGCCGATCTCATACGATCAAACTGGCCAGGGCACGGGGCCCATGGCACGTGTGCATGGTAAAATCTGATTTACAAAATTCACTTTTCTCGCAGCATCCCGCCACGATTCCCTGCCTATGCTAATGCACATGAAATGGCGCTCACGTAATTCGTCGTCCTGGACAACGAGAATAATTTTCATCTGCCGATCTCATACGTTCAAACTGGAGAGGGGCAAGCCTGTAGCACGTGTGCATGGTAATATCCGATCTGCAAATTTTTAGTGTTGCTATATAGTATATATATATATTACCTTATTACTATAACTTAAGTTGTACCTGCATATTGCATGTCTTTCCAAATTTTGGCGATTAAATATAAATAAACAAAATCATAAAAACCAGGCTTTTCCTTTTTTATTATTATTTTAATATAATCCTAAACTATAATTGTTAGCTTTTATTAATTTTTTTGAGAATCATAATCAATGAAATTTGCATACTTCATTGCATATAATTTGCAAACAATCACTGATATCAAAGCAACTTCTATTGTTAACAATATAAGAGTTCCAGCAGGAGCACGCACCTAACATGAGGTTGCGCCACTAAAACCAGGTTACGCAAAAATCACCGAAGTGTCGTGTCTTATTATACTTAGTCTATGCTATTACTCCCTAAAAATGTTACATGCCAACTTATAATCGAAAACCCAATGATAACAACAAAACTATTACGATGTATGATAATCCAGAGAGACATGATACAAGATTGCGTGGCACAGCTTTGCTGTTGATCCTGAGCGCTGCGCGCGGATGAGACGCGCAGTTCCGCGCGATATATGCGTACGCGACCGCGGGGATGTTGAAGTATGAATCGTTGTCCGCAGTGGAGACGTGCGCCAAATTCGAGGCCCGGCGCACGTCTCCACAGCGGTCAGCGGATGGTCTGCAGTTTTAGAAGATAACAATGAAGACTTTGTTCTAAATAAAAACTATCGGCGGCTAAATAACAGCAATATACAGAATACCTTTGAATTTCTTGACTAGTCAGTCAAAGGGCTTGTTGGGGGTCCATTATGCAGAGCTTCCAATTGAAATGGCCCATAAAATTGTCAAGTAGAATTATGTTTTTTGGAACCCCAAAGAAAATGTCTCCCTCTTACATGCACCCCGTAAGTAAACAATAACAGAGATGAAATTGTGTTGGTTTTATGGCTCTTGACGCACGTGCATTGACGTACAAGACTGATGAAAGCACAGGCACTTGGAACGTCTCAATATAAATAAATCTTCACACAATTTTTCACAATGATCGACCGCTTGTGTGCAAAATAGGTGAACGTATGTGAAACATATACGGTTAGTACTTACTGTGACCATAGCTCTGACATATCTGTGACTAACTGACACCACTAAATTGGTAAAATGTTCCATGCACCCTTAAGAAATGCTGAGAAATTACGAGGTTATCATCGCAGAACTCCCGACACCGCCCATCCTGATGTCACAAAGCTTTATGTAAACAGATACGCGTGTTGCGAGGTGCGTGCCTCCGATATCCGTTTCGAGGCCCGCTAAGCCAAGCATAAAGCGCGCGGGCAAGACGTCACACACACAGCTACGTTCATTGGCTAAAACAATCGAGTAGCCCGTTTAGGGATTTTCGGAATTATTTAATTTTAAGAAAACCTTTAATGTTCAATGAATGACACACTCGTTTGCTTCCGAAAGCGGGTAAAAATTCTTAATTTTTCCACTTCGGTGCGAAATGCATCGGCAGGGCCTTTCATTATTTACGAAAAGCAAACAGTCTCGCCAAACACCTACACGCAGTAACGGGTCACGTCGTTGCCATTCATGCCCATCAACGAAGAAGGCGGGGCTTATTCTGATTACGGAAATGCGGAAATGCAACAGAAGAACGTAGCGCAGTGCGCTATAAACAGCGTGTTATTTTCGTATTTGTGCCAAACTCTATCGTAGGAAACCGTTCTAGCCTAGCAGATTGCCTTAGTTCCTGAGATCGGCGATTTGGTGGTCCAATGGGTCCCCATATTTAAAAATATAAAACACTGGTGCGGCGTAGGCTGTGATTGGAAGACACAAAGTGTCAATCCTCGGCGCGCCTCGGCATCATGGCCGCATCACGTCAAGGACGTTATGATTAGGGCATAGTGAATTGCTGTTTAATTAATTACACACCTCAAGTTTTCTTCCATGAATATGCTAAACAGATTGTTACTAGTATGACTACTTTTAATATTGTGAAGTTTAGTAGTATTTTCATTGTCAACATTTCAAACGGCATAGCCGCTCCAATCCAGACGCGAAGGAATCGCAGGAAATCGCGCACACTCCACATCTCATTCTGTCATAGGCGCAAAATAACATTTTCCTCTCTGGGTGTGACTCTGCTCTTAAATACTTTCCCGAAAGGCTCGCGTACACATGCAAACGTATTGTTGGCTGGCGGTTGTTTTTTGAAAACTTTTACCTGATATGATTTATTGGCTAAATGCTGATAAATAACCTAAATATCGATTATTGATTATCGATGGTGTGATGGTTTAAGGCATAGACAAATTTCTGTTTACTTATTTGAACACCTAAAATATTTTACATCAATTATGATAAACACCCATTATTAAAAAATTTTACAATTTAAATCGTTTATAATTGTTATGTTTTCCACGGGATAGCCGCTCCAGTCCAAGCGTACAGGAATCGCAGGGAATCGTACATACTCCTCATCCCATTCTGTTAGAGGCTGGAAATAACAGTTACCACGCGGAGCGTGTTAGGTCGATCTCTTTGATTACTTTTCCGAAAGGTTCGCGGACGCATGCAAACGTATCGTTGACTGGCAGGTTTGCATACAATTTGAATATATATGTTCTGTCTCACATTGAAATAATATTGGTGGTAATCTTAGTCATTGGAGTGCGAGAGTTTGACACGCCGCGGAATCACTTGTAATTTATGTATGATATAAATTACGCAAGAAATCGTTAATACGTTTACACGTAAAAAAAAAAATTTACAAAATTACTCCAAACCCTCACTATAGGGACATCGCTTCGTTGCGCCCGATTTTCCCGTCGTTTCATCGACCTTTCGACATGTCGCCTTTCATAGGTTTTAACTATTTAAGTCGATCTCCCGTTACACATTGATGTGGTGCTATACAAGCCTAAAAAGTCGGTATAGCCTGCATGAAACTGCCTCGCGAGGGTTAACGACTACACAAGGGTACGCATGCGGGATTAAACACACTCAATTCTCAATCAATAATCGATAGTTACGTTGTTATCATTATGTTTGTTGCTAACGTTGCTCTGTCATAGCAATTAATCCGATTCGGCGATTATGTACATAAATGAGAATATATATATAACAATTAACAATTAATAATTAATTAATTATTAAGGCGAAATGCCTAGACTGGCTTCATGCCCTAAACTGATAGCTTCACTGCGCACGCGCCAGCGAAAGTAAGAAATCCCTCGTCTAACGAGAAATCGCAGATCCATTATCATTACTACATCTGTGCATATTGTAAGCAAACCTGCCCGTCGGCAATACGCTCGCGTGCGTGCGCCGGGCAGACGGGCAATACAAGACAAGACTAAGAAACACTGGCCACCTTGAGCCTTTAACTGTACGTGCTGTCGCGTACAGGTAATTCCCTGCACATTCTATACGACTGGACTGGGACAGCCATCCCGTGGATTAACATAATAATGATGCGCGTGCATGCGCGTGCGTGTACCTACGTGTATGAGTGCGCGCGCGTGTTTGTGAGTGTGAGCGAGTGGTGTGTGTGTGTGTGTGTGTGTGTGTGTGTGTGTGTGTGTGT